AAACTTGATTTAGCTGTTGCTTCTCTGGCACTTGTTTGTTTTCCTTATTGGTGTCCATGCCAGCTTTTAAGAGAACAGATTTTCTTTCCCCTTTGAAGGAAGGAGGGTGGGTGGAGAGAGAGTTTGGACCCTCATCAATCACCGAGCTTTCAGTAGGTCTCAGCTGCCAAGAATAAAGGAAGGGAAGTATTTGTCCCTGTAGAACTCAGGCTTTCTCCTCTGCAGGTTATAATGACCTGAGCCAGCTCTGTAAACGAGAATCTTCTCGTTCTTGACATGCCTGTTGAAAACAGAGGGGTTGTAACGCTCAGCTAGCTGTGGGAACTTTGGTTACGTCCTCAGGGTCTGGGTCACACCTCTCACAAAACAGATAAACAGAACTGGATTTCTGGTCAGGAGAGGGCCAGACTGGGACCTGCTGAGGACTGATAGTAGTGCTGCAAGATATAACAGCACTGTGGGGCCCTGGGCAGGGGCTGCCCCAGACCTCCTAGCACTGCCCTGAGCACACAGGACTCGGAAGCACTCTCTGCTGTTCTGCTCAGCCACACACATCATATTCCTCAATCAAGTTTCTAACTCTGGCTTTGCAGGAATCTCCGTTCCTATACTTTTCCTCCCTGGGCCCATATGATGATCTTTGGCGGGGGAGGTAGGGTGTCCATTGATGGGGTTTATTTCCAGGTGATGGTGTTTGTGCTCCAAGAAGAGCCAGTAACCGGGGTTATGGCGGGGGGCGGGCAGTTACCAGGCTTCTGTTGAAGACCATGAAGCCCATCCTCAGGGGCTTTCCCAAGAGAAGAGGCAGAGCTATGCTCAGACCACTCAGACCCTGGGGCCTTAAAGAACAACCCACCTATTTGAAGAACAGAGTCTCAGGCTGGAAAGGGGAGAGGCAGGAAGAATCCAGGAATGAGAGGTTGTCCGTGCCTGTGCCATCCATCAGAGACGTAACCTTATCGTTCGGTCATGATCACAGTTGGGAGCAGGAAGCTAGTGATTTGGGACGCAGTTGTGGTTCTGAGGCAGCTCAGTTCCATATAGAGGCTTTGTCATTCCCTCTGGTTCTCCCTTCAGAAAACTTCATTCCATGAAAGCTCTTAGAAGGGTCATGTATGAATCAGGTCTAGGGGCTTACATGGTGACCTGCTGCCATACAAGGCAGAGGGCCGGATCTTAGTTTAGACCTATAAGACTCTGCTACTATCAGGTGCGGCACTGGGGTCCTGACTCTCTTCTGGTCTGCCCAGCCACACGTACCGTGCCTCGATGGAAGGGGTACCTTTTGACCATCCTGTATAACAAGTGAGATCTCTGATGGGTCTCCTTTTCTGTCTTTTTAATGGGTCTCTTTTTGCTTTTTCTCACTTTTGGCTGTAAAAGTTTCTTAGGAACCATGTCTAATCTATACTGTGTAATAACTAGCTCTTAATCTTGTGCCAGGCACGACACTGTGCCCGGGAGGTAGTTGCTGGTAATGAGTGTGACATGAAACTTCAACTGTACTTTCCTCCTCCCCAGGAGGCTGGGCCTACGGCCCCTGCCACAACAAGGCTGCCCTCGTGGCATTAACATGTAGTATAAGG